TGGGGAGCCCCTGGGGGACGCAGTGCGGACGCCGCCCGGGAGCCGGCGCCCGGGCTGGCAGGTGGGGGCTAAGGAAGACCCCAGCCCGGGCCGGACCCGACCCTCCGGCTGGAACATCCCTTTCTTTGCCCGCTGTGTGGCTGGCTTCCCCGCGGTCCGCGGCGCGTGCCTCGGGGCAGCGGGAGAGGCCGGCTCAGGGCGCGGTCCTGGGGCATCCCCGGAGCCTCGCTCACGTGGTCCAGAGCGGTCCTGGCGGGGCGTCCCCTCCCCCCCGTGACCCCAAGGCCTTCCCCGACACACCGGTCCTAACGCTCCTCACACCAGCCTGCGACCGACCGAGGACCGACCGAGGAAGGGCAGGGTCCCGGACGCATCTCATCCGGCCCGGTTCTATGGTGAAACGACCGAAAAGCGGAAGACTTGCCCAGTAGGAAGGATACTCAGCGTAGCCTGCGAGGTTCTGACGGCTCACTTAGGCCTTTGGGGCCACCCTCACTAGGCCTAACTTTGCAGAGTATTTTGGACCGTCCAGATACTCGCCGGCTTGTCTTAGTGACATGCTAGGCGTTGGTTGAGCTGGGGATTTCTTAATTTAATCCTTCTGAGCTATTCAACCAGTTGGGCATTTTAAAAGATGAGGTGGAGAATAAAGAGTAGATGTTCAGAGGAAGATTCTAATCTGGGTTTAGGCTACCTCCAAAGAGAATTTGCTGTTTGATTTCTGATGCCCGGATTTGAAAGGAATATGCTTCTAGATTCTACTCTTTGCAAAAAAAAAAAATTTTCGAGGAAAGTCATGGATGGAGCATTGATGATGAGGAATTCTTTCTTATATACAACATTCCTATAGTTTTTCTTAACGTCCATTTGCCCAAAGGAAAAGGCAAGGCCCTGCTTTTTACAGGAGTATCTAAATTTAGAAATGTCATGTTTCTCGTGCAGAAGAGTTTGTTGATGCTATTGAAATGGTTGGGTTGTGGGGGGGAGGGGGTTCACCTCAGACTGGGAACTCGGTGCCTCCTAATGCTAAGTAAGCCTTCTGCCACTGAGCTCTGAACCTCAGCCCCGTGAAATGGAATTTAAAAATTCATCACAAAATTGAGAGAGTAAATCTTTGTAATTGCTTATAGGGAAGAGTGCTTTAAGTTTCTTTGGGTTGGGTTTTGTGTTTGTGTTTTGGGGCTTAACAAGTAGCCTGAGAGAAACAACTTTGAGGGAGGAAGGATTTATTCTGACTCCCTGTTTAAGAGAGATTTCATCCTCTCCATTGCTTTTGGGCTGATGCGGGACAGAACATAAAGAAGGTTTGATGAACAGAGCCACTTGGCAGTTAGTAAGCTGGGAGAGAGAGAGAGGAGACAGACACAAGAAAGAGTCCCGACAAGGGGTATGTTTTCGCATCCACAGTGGCTTCTTTATCTAGCTGGATTCCACCTCTCAATAATGCCCTCATGTTATAAATTTCTCAAGGGATCAATTCCTTAATTAGGTCCCTTTCCTCTGAACCAGTTACTTTTCAGTGTTTGGACCCATCAGCTGGAGACCAGGCCTTCCAGTACCTGAATCTTTTTTGTGAGGCCATAGCCAAACCATAGTTCTTCTTTCTTAATTAAAACATACATTGTTTTACCCATACTTGATAGAATGTACATTGATGTACATTTTATCTTTGCCTTCACTACATGTTTAAAAATAATCTGATGTCCATTTGTAAAAATTGGTTCTCAAATACTGAAATTGAGCTATCCAATAATCAGAAAAACAAGGAAGCAGTGAAAACAAGGAAGCTCAGCCCTGAGCCTTTTTGCTACAAATTTGTCATCACTGAATGATTCTATTTGGAAATTTGAAAGGACTAGAGCCAGGCGCCAATGGTTCATGACTATAATTCTAGCTACTCAGGAAGCTGAGATCTGAGGGTTCAAAGCCAGCCCATACAGGAGAGTCTGTGAGACTCTTATCTCTAATAAAACACCAGAAAACCAGAAGTGGCGCTATGGCTCAAGTGGTAGAGTACCCACCTTGAGTAAAAGAAGCTCAGAGACAGCTCCCAGGCCCAAAGTTCAAGCCCCAGGACCAGCAACATAATAATATTAATAAATAAGTGAATAAATACATGGACTAGATACTTCTCAATGAAAAACATTTGCCAAGCAGGCGTAAATACTGCTTAGAAGTAAGAGATGGAATATCCTCAGAAAGATAAGAATCTGGAGGTTAGTTTAAATTATACTTAAAATATGTTTTTCTTTTTTGGGGAGGGGGAAGCATTCTAGAACATATATATATTGGTTAGTAATGAACTCTGTATAGTGTACACTCAGCTAGCTGCTGTGTAATTCGCACAGATAGAGGACCAGAGTTGAATCCAGCACTGCAAAAAAAAAAAAATCACATTAAAAGTTTATTTAAAGACTCCTTAGCTAATCACAGTGATGAAGTGCCTATAATCCCAACTATTCAAGAGGCCAAGGCTGGAAAATCTCAAATCCCAAGGCCAGTTTGGGGCAGCATAAGATCCTTTCTTAAAAAATAGGTAAGAAAATAAGGGCATCTGGAGGCTGGGGACAGCAACTCAGTTGGTAGGGCACTTGCCTGGCATGCTCAAGGACATGAGTTTGATTTCCTAGCCCTCTCCACCAAAAAAACCAATGTATTTGATAATAATGAGGGTAGGGACTAAACCGTGTTAATGGGTCAAATAAGGATAAGTCAATCAGTTCTTCCTTTACTATTTACTTGATAGGAAACGTTTTTAACATCTTTATGGAAAAGTAAATCATGTATCATAAAATTTACCCATTTAAAATATACAATTCAGTGTATTTTAGTATATTCATAGCTGTATGAATCACCTAATTTTTCATATCCCCATACTGACCTCCAAGTTCTGGATGACAATTAATCAACTTTCTGTCACTGTAGGTTTGCTAGTAGGGACATTTCATACAAAATATGGTCTTTGATCTGTGGCTTGTTTTACTTAATGTGTTGTTTGTTTGTTTTAAATTACTTAGTGTTTTTAAAGATCATACATTTTATAACGTGTCAGTACTTCATTCCTTGTAGCCAGATACTGCTTTGCCAGGGAGATATACCACATTTTGCTTATTCTTTATTTGGTAGACATATGGGTTATTTCCCCTTCTTAGCTGTTTTGAATATTACTATTTAATGTTCATATACAAGATATTGTATGAATGTATAGCTTTATTTTATGGGGGGGGTTGAGATCTAGGAGTAGAATCGCTGTATCGTTGGAAATTCTGTTTTTATCATTTTGAATTAACTGTTGAACTGTGTGGAGCATTGTACTTTCCCACCAGCAGTGTATGAAGAGTCTAGTTTATTCACATCTGCTACTGCTTGCCTTTTTTATAACCATTTTAGTGGGTATGAAGTTGCATCTCTGGTTTAAGTTTGTATTTTTCTAATGACTAACGATGGTAAACATCTTTCATGTGCTTATCAGCATTTTTATATGTTTTTTGTAGACACTTGTCTATTTTAGGTTTATTAGCATAAGAGTGTTAAGGTTCTTTATATATTCTGGTCAAAATTCCCTTGTGAGATAGGTGATTTACAAACATGTTCTCTTTAGATTGTCAGTTCACTTTTTTGATATTACCATGTACAACAGAAAAGACCTTGCAGTCAAATTTATTTTTTTCCTTTGGTCATTTGTATTTTTGTTACAGTATTTAGAAAAATCACAACTATCACAAGTCTTATAGTTTTTTTCTATATGATCCATTTTCAGTTAGCTTTTGTGTGGTCTGTAGAAGGAAGTCCAACTCCATTCTTCTGAATATTGCTAACGGTTTGTTCAGACCATTGGTTGAGAAGACTGCACTTTTCTTTGTGTTAGTGTGTTATTGTTGTGTATTTGAAACAGCTTGGGTTCAGGTTGGCCTTGAACTCTCTCAATCCTGATTCAGTCTTGAGTCCTGGGATTATAGGTATGAGTCAGCCTACCTGGCTGATTGGTGGTTTTTGTGTTTTTGGTTTTTTCCTTTTGGATTGTTTTGTTTGTTGGTTAGTTTTAGGCTATACTGAGGTTTGAACTCAGGACTTCGTATTTGCTAGTCAGGCATTCTACCACAAGATCCACTTTGACAGCCTCACCCCTACCCCCCAGACTGGATTTTGCTTTTTGCCTGGGTAGCACGGAGCAAGATTGTCCTGTTTGTACTTTTCTTGCATCACCACGGGCACTCCTCATTGCTGTTGATTGAAATGGAGTCTTGTGAGTGAACTTTTTCCCAAGTTAGCCTAGAATTATGATCCCCTGGTCTCTGCCTCCCAGATAGCTAGGATTACAACTACGATCCACCAAGCCTGACCTATTTGTTGTTTGGTTGATCTGCTTTTTCTGACACAGGGTCCTGCTATGTAGCTTGGATTGTCCTGGAACTCCCTATGTACCCAAGCTAGCCTTGAACCCTGTCCTTTTGCTTCAGCCTTCTGAGGGCTGGGGCTACAGGCATGTGTGACCATGCTTAGTTTTGAACCACCATGACTGATTGAAGTTTATGTTCATGATATTGAGATATCTATAAAATGAAACTGTCCTTTGTTAGATGTGTTGACTTAAAATTTTACATAAAGCAAATATGACAGAATTCTGTCTAAACATTGATATAATTGTTGTGTAACAGTATTTTGTTTAATATCAGGATATATTCTTTCCCTAAAGGAGATAAGTATTTGGTAAAGACTTTGATAGGGAACATTATAATTTAGAGGAATATTTACTTAATTATAATTGCTAGACTACTCTGTACTTTACTCCATTCCTGATTGTTTTTTGTTTTTTTCTTACAGCCAAGTATCCAGAGATAAAATCCTTGATGAAACCTGATCCCAGATTGATATGGATTATAATTATGATGTTTTTCACTCAGGTGGTTGCATTTTACTTAGTAAAAGACTTGGACTGGAAATGGGTCATATTTTGGGCCTATGTCTTTGGCAGTTGCCTTAATCACTCAATGACTCTGGCTATTCATGAAATTTCTCACAATTTTGCCTTTGGCCACCACAAGTCACTGTGGAATCGCTGGTTTGGAATGTTTGCTAATTTTCCTATTGGGGTTCCATATTCTATTTCCTTTAAGAGGTATCACATGGATCATCATCGATACCTGGGAGCTGATGGCATTGATGTGGACATTCCTACTGATTTTGAGGGCTGGTTCTTCTGTACCACATTAAGAAAGTTTTTATGGGTTATTCTTCAGCCTCTCTTTTATAGTTTCCGGCCTCTGTTCATCAACCCCAAACCCATTTCTTACCTGGAAGTGATCAATACTGTGGCTCAGATTATTTTTGATATTATAGTTTACTACGTATTTGGAATTAAGTCTTTAATCTACATGTTGGCTGCATCTCTACTTGGTCTGGGTTTACACCCAATTTCTGGACATTTTATAGCTGAACATTACATGTTCTTAAAAGGACATGAAACTTACTCATATTATGGGCCTCTGAATTTACTTACCTTCAATGTAGGTTATCACAATGAACATCATGACTTCCCCAATATTCCTGGAAGAAACCTTCCATTGGTAAGTAAAAGATTTGACATTTAAACTTCTGATGGTTATATAATCAGAATTAGTCTTAACTTGCTCAATTTAAAAGCAATCTCATATATGTTGTGAATCTTAAGCTGAGTATCAAAAAAAATTTTTTTTTAAAGTAAAGAGTATATATGTTGTGTCCACCAGCCAAATTTTGTTGAGGTTTCATTATCTTGTATATTAAGCTTAGTGGCTGTCCTTAGGGTTCGAGAGTTTTGGAGGATGTACAGAATCTTTCAGGTGGTAAAGTAACTCAGAAATAGCAAACCAAAGCTGTCTACGAGATACTGTCTCTTTTCCTTGACTTTTAGTGTATTGTTTGTGGAGTAAATGAAAGAAGACATTTTAACCTTGATTCTTCATCTTTTCTAAAAATAATCATTCTTTTCTGCTATCTTCCTACTAAGTTGTCTTATTAGCCTTTAACTGGGTAGAAAGGCTGACAAAAGGCTTATTATAGAAAAAAAAAACTCCAAATATTTAAAAGGGAAATAAGTATTATTTTATTTTATTTTTTGTCAGTCATGGGAATTGAACTCTGGGTCTGGGCACTGTGCCTCAGCTCTTCAGCTCAAGGCTAGCACTCTACGACTTGAGTCACAGCTTTTTTCTGCTTATATAGTGCTGAGGAATCAAACCCAGGGCCTCATGCATGCAAGGCAAGCTCTCTACCACTGAGCCAACTTCCCAGCCCTCTTGATTTTATTTTAAAGCTATGATACAAGGGAACCCTAGCCATCATACATCATGCTGTCACATCCACTAATCAAAAATTTAAACATTGACTGTTTAAAACTTACATAACATGACAACAAAAGACACATATATCAGTTGATACTGCTTTGGAGCCCCAAAGTGAGGACAGAACAAGTTACAAATGGCATTTTACAGTCTGGATATGTTTTAGATAATATTGTGTCATTGTCCCATTTCTCAGTTATAATAATGGAATTCTGGCTTTGTTGGAAAAATATTCTTTGGAAATACATGTTGTAATATTTGGTGATGAAATATTAGAGATAACTTGATGTTTAACATCTTTAACTTTACCTGAACCATCCATAGCTTCAACAAAGAGTGTATGTTTGTTCCATAAGCAGTATATGAAGAATCCATGTATAGTAAATTGTTGGTTAAAAAAAAAACCAGGTTGAGGAAAAGTCAGATGAGTGCTTAATTTACTATTCTTTCAAGGGCTCAGTAGGTCTTTCATTTTTTTGATAAAGTATTAAGGAGAAAATAGCATCTACTTGACTAAAGGCAGCATTAAACTTCAGGCCCCTGTTCTTGGTATCCTGCCAGTGTCCTGCTGAATACTGTGAGGACTGTTTGCCTCATCCAGGAGTGGAAGCAGATTTTTTTAAGGGATTATGGGTTCAGGAAAAATCTAATCATTAGTTGAACACAAGAATTTTTCCCAACATGAAGTACAACATGAGTTTTTTTGAGGTTCTCAGAATTGAAAACTAACCTTAGTCACACATTAGCTCCCTTACTGCCCATTCTACCTCAGTGGTAATTCACTTCTTGGTTTTCTATGGTGTCATTATTCCTTAGCTAAACTAACAAGCATCTGAAGAGTGAGATTATGCCTTTCCTGCTCTTTCTCTGATACATATGCCTGCGAAGGAGTACAAGTTTTGTTCATTCTTACTTTTAGTTTTTTGTTTGTTGTTGGTGTTGGTTGTGGGGCTTGAACTCAGGACCCTGGGCACTGTTTCTACGCCTCTTTGTGCTCAAGGCTAGCCTTCTACCACCTTGAACCACAGTACCACTTCCCAGTCTTGCTCATTCAATAACTACCTACCATTTCATAGTTATACTATAATAGTTCTATTGTATAGAACTATTGAGCATTTAACAGGAATAAAACAATAGAATGACTTTTTTAGCAGTTATGGTGAGACATAATCTAAACAATGTACCGACTTAAAGTGTATGATTGTATCAACAAGATAAAAATAAGAGATTTTTTTAAGTGATTAAAGGTATGGGCATTTGTATGGCTTGGTGTTTTGACCCTCTCCTTCAAGAGGCCTCAGTGACCCTATTCACCTTGCTGTCTTTGTTCACTTCTAGGTGAGGAAAATCGCAGCTGAATATTATGACAACCTTCCCCACTACAATTCCTGGCTGAAAGTCCTGTATGATTTTGTGGTGGATGATACCCTAAGTCCCTATTCGAGGATGAAGAGGCCTCCAAAAGGGCAGGAGGTTCTGGAATAAATATCTTCCCAGCAAGGAGATTCTCTCCAAAGCTTAAAAAAAAAAGCGCTGATAAAGTGAAGTTTTTACATTATTAAGCTTAAAACTACTGATGCTTAGAAGTGGCTCTGTCAAAATTTCAAACTCAGTGGTATGAAGAGGCGAGTTCTGACTTGAAATAGCAGCCTGAATTTCATACTCGCTGTCCTTGTCCTGTGTCGTCATCCCTGAGAGTGTCCTCCCTGTCTCTGTCACCTTGTAAGCTTATCATTTAAAAAAAGAAAAAAACTATTTCTACCTGGTTATTTTCACTCCATAGTTTTACTTAATCAAGACAGCTAATAAACTGAGTCATTAATTATATTTAGTGTGCATTGCATCTTTGTATGTCACTGTTTTTATATCATGTAATATGGTCACCTAGATAATGGGAAAAGACAGCTGCAAAATTCCATTGAAGAAAAAAGTAGTTTTTAGAAGGCATGAGTTGGGCTGGGAAGTTGGCTCAGTGGTAGAGTGCTTGCCTTGCATGCCTGAGGCCCTGGGTTCGATTCCTCAGCACCACATAAGCAAAAAGAAAAAAGCCGGAAGCGGTGCTATGGCTCAAGTGGTAGAGCGCTAGCCTTGAGCTGAAGAGCTGAGGGACAGCACTCAGGCCCAGAGTTCAGGCCCCACGACCGGACCCATAAATAAATAAATAAATAAAAGGCATGAGTTGATGTAGTATAAAAGTTTGAGATGGAACTTTCTATGAGTCAAATTACTTATTCTAATTTTTTGATTAGTTCGAGATGAGAACTAATTAGACTCATGAATAAAGTACTTAGCATGATAATGTCCAACGCCCAGTTTCTTGACTTTTGAATCAGAAGCAGCTTACCTGGTAGACATCTATGTTCTGTCACTGCTGCTTGAGGTAGTTGGTCTCAAGTAGCTGAGATGCTGTGCTATGAGGTCTGTGCTGGTTTCCTCTGAATTTGTCACTTGGAGAAATATGGTATAATGTAGAAAAGTACTTTAAAATACATTAGCTATAGAATAGCTATATTGAATATATTAAAAATAGCTATATCAAATATATTAGCCATATTGAAGGTTTCTAAAGTGTCAAGCAATGTCCAAGACAACCCCCTACCTTACTGATCCTGTGTTATTCACAAAGTGCTTTGTTCTTTCCCTTTTACGTAGGGGAATTCCTATCAAATCTATTACATAATGAGCCATTGATTCTAAAGTTAACAGTGATAATGAAACCAATGTTTCTGTTCAGATTGAATCTCACCACTGGAGAATATCTGTGAAACATAGCCTTCCATTTCACACTAGATGTGAATAAATCTTTTGCTTGAAGTGAATCCTAAACTTTCCTGTAGAACAGCGATGATGAAAATTTCTCAATCTTTCCACTCAGTCCTCCTGAATTCCACTCTCTACCAGATAACATCAGAAAGTACCATCTGTTCCCAGGTTACATGATCATATCTTGCCTGGTAGACAGTTTGGTCTTTATAGCAGGTCTAACTAGCCTGGCTTTTATTTGCCCACCTCAGTCTGTTCTTTAAATGATCTACGGATCAGGGCTATAGGCAGATTGGGCCTAGGAACCTCTAGAAAATAACCAGTTCCTGGTCTGGTTAGTTTGTATCAAGGCCTCAAGGCTCACATCAGCTTTCTCTGCTCCAACCTCTCTAGTTCTTCAAATGCCCCTTTTTTACTTTTTACCTCCCTCCATCCCCCAGTCCTGGGGCTTGAATTCAGGGTCGGGGCACTGACCCTGAGCTGCTTTTACCCAAGGCTAGCACTCTACCACTTGAGCTACAGTGCCACTTCTGGCCTTTTCTGTTTATGTGGTATTGAAGAAACAAATTCAAGGCTTCATGCATACACTACCACTAAACCACATTCCCAGCCCTGCCCCTTTTTATACTTGAAAACCAGAGGTAACCTCCTTCTTGGCTTGAATCATGCTGTTATGTAAATGGTTCTATTGATTTCCCTTTGGGTTGTAACTCCTTAAGGGCAGGACCTCCCTTTATATCTATTCCCCAAACTTAAGAGAGGAGAGAGAAACATGAGAGGAGTTGAGCTTTATCTAAAAGAGCCAAAACCCTAAGGTATAACCTTCAGGTAAGAGTGATATGTAAAAACAATGCACTGGGGTTGGAAGCAAAGCTCGGTTGGTATAGTGCCAGCCAATAAGCAAAGCTTCAGGTACCTAGTTTGAGTCCCAATCTTGCAACATTTATTGAGAATCCTTTTCCTGGAGCCCTCTACCATATATGCTTTTTTTTTTTTTTTTTTACTTGTTGGCAGTGCTGGGAATAGAATTCAAAGTTTCATGCATGCTAGACAAGTACCTTATAAATTAGCCACATCCCCAGCCCCTGAGTAAATTGCAGAAAATGAATCTTGAATTCAAACTATCCCCAGAATCCAACCTCTTGACTATGCTACCACTTTTGTCCTAGAATAGGAAAACATTGGAAAAACAGGTGCTCCATATGTGTGTGTGTGTGTGTATGTGTGCACTAACTCACTGACCACCTTCCTGCTTGTTCTTTAACACAATCTGGAATCCAACTATGATATAGTAAAAATGCATTCATTCGTTCATGCTATAGATTCCTTACCATGCATTGCACTAGGCCATGGGGATACAAAGTGTGGTCCTAAGTGCAAGGAGCTAGTGCTATAGTGCTGGGAGGTGGTTGTCCTATTCGGAATTTGCTAATAAAGGACTTCACACAAACAGGCAGCCCACCATGTAGCTGGGGGGAGGGTGCTGGAGTGATCGTGTCTAGTCTCAGTGCTCACCTAGCCTTGTGTGCAGATCATTATTTTATGTCAGCCTGGTAAGGTAGCTGTTACCTCCACAATTTCCAGATGAAGTAACTGGGCATTGGCAGGCAATTGGCCAGTCTAAGGGTACATGTGGGAGCCACAGCCTGAACATGAAGTTGGCCAAAGAACTATATGCTATCTATACCCTTTACACCACTGGTTTTATTAGGTAAGTCTTCTAGGAGTCTTTGCCATTGGAATGAAGCAGAGTGATCTTAGAAACCAAGGCTAGTAAGGCCTAAGAAAAAAACAAAACTCAAAATCTTAAGGGTGTTAAACCCTTAAATGCTCTCAGGATATTCTCTGAGATGAGAGCCACCTGATTGAGACAACCACCCCTCCTCCCACCCCCAAAGGAGAGAAGGAAGCTAACCGCCTGGGAGTGAATGACCTCTGGAGATAACTGGCTAAGAGTGGTTGACACTGATGTTTGCAGGGATCTTAACAAATGAGGAATTGGGACAATTTAGGCTTGAGAGGAGTAGGATTTAACCATAGGGCCAAATCAAGCGAGTACCTTAAAATCTTCAAGAACTTTTCTTCTTTAATATTTTAGTTTTTGCCAAGTTCTCTCTGAACTGGTAGGTGACTCAGATGTCCAACAGCTGGGATCCACCAAGGAGAAGAGCTGAGGAGTGAATGCATCACTACATAGGAGCCCTAGGGGTTCTGTGTGGGCACTAGAACAACAGCATCTGGGAGGAGTGGAACCTAAGGAAACAGCAGCTTTTGTAGACAAGTGTGGATTGCTGCTTAACTACACACAGTGCTTGAAATCTTTTTGGGAGGTATAAATGGATGCATTGTGAATAGGCCTGCAAGAAGCAAGTGCCACCCTCTGGGGTTCTCAGTGATTTCTAATCCAAGGAATGAAGCAGGATAGATTAGGGGAAATGAGGCCTGGTGAAGGCAACTCAGAAACAAGATATTTAGAAACATAGAAGCACTATGTTTGCTTCTAAGAGAGAAAATTGGATGCATTCCTTATCTCAAGGATTAGCAACTTTTTTTTTAATGGCAGGATGCAGTCTTTCCTGAAAGTGCTTTTCTGCTTGGGCTAGCTTCCAAAACATGATCTTCAGATCTCAGGCTCAGTTGGCCTGGCTTACAGTAGACCAGTTAGATAAATGCAGTTTGCAACCCTGCAAGAGTTGGGCTTAGGGCAGAGGGAAAGACTACGGGAAAGTCAGAAACTTCAGTCTTCTGGAAAATGGTTTTTAGCTCACTGTCCTGAAGGTCTGTCTCTCTGACCATGTGGAAAGCACATGCATGCCACCACACCCTGAGCCCTCAGGAAGAGCTAGCTCCCTGTTGTAATCAGGCCTTAGGAAAACTAACCTGTTTCAATTCCAGTTCGTCATCCCCTCCTTTTAATCCATGCAATATAAAATAGATAATTTTTTCCTTTGTTGAAGGAATCTAAGATATCACAAGTTGTCCAGCTTGATCTCAGTGATGGCAGAACAAGAACCGGATCTGTCCCATCCTCTATCTAAATCCAAACCCTTGCCACTAACCCGTGTTGCCACCCTTCAATTAGTTACCTATTCACAAATAGCCGTGCTTTATGTGAGACGAGAGGTTGGGCAATATGTCCACTGGGAAGTGCATCTTCCTGCTCAGAAGAGGGAGGCTACTCTTCTGAGTAAGGGCAGGGTCCCTCAACTTCCTAGTCCTCTCCCACATTCCAGGGACATGTGATGAACTATACTCTGCATTAGGCCAGGGTCATGGATGCACTGACAAAACCATGACCTTGCTCCAAACCCAACTGGACATGGCTATCTTGAGAGTTTACCTTGACTGAAAAACAAGGGCATAGAAAGAACTTTTACCTAGTCTGGAGAATTTTACATTAAGAAGCTAAACTACAAGCTGGGAATGTGGCTTAGTGGTAGAGTGTTTGCCTGCCATGCATGGAGTCCTGGGTTCGATTCCTCAGTACCACATCCTCAGAGAAAGCTGGAAGTGGTGCTGTGGTTTAACTGGTAGAGCAAAAGAAGCTCAGGGTCAGTGCCCAGGCCCTGAGTTCAAGCCCCAGTACTGGCAAAAAAAATAAAAAAGCTAAACTACTTGAGGACTAAAGGACAATATCTGCTAGCTTCTGTACAGACTGTTTCATTCTCATGGGTGTAATCACTGATGTGTTGCCAAGGAAATAAATTAGTAGGAAAGAATAAAAAATGTGTCTAAAGTTATAGAACCAAACCCCAAATCCAGAGTCTATAAATTCAAAATCTATGCTTTGGAAGAAAGAGGAGGAGGAAGAGGAAGAATTATTTCACAATAGACATCTTCCTCAGATTCAAAGTCTTCTTCCAGATGAATTCTGACGTGAGATTTCTCATTTATTTATTTATTTATTTTGTCGGTCGTGGGGCTTGAACTCTGGGCTTGGGCACTGTCCCTGTGCTCTTCAGCTCAAGGCGAGCACTCTACCACTTGAGCCATCACTTCCGGTTTTCTAGTTGTTTTATTGGAGATGAGTCTCACAGACTTTCCTGCCCGGGCTGGCTTTGAACCGTGATTCTCATATCTCAGCCTCTTGAGTAGCTAGGATTACAGGCGTGAGCCGCCAGTGCCAGCTGACGTGAGATTTCTCTAGCTTGTTATAAATTTGGCCACCCTTAGGACTATGGGCATAGACCAATAGTGGCTATCAGCAAGAATGGAGTATGTGTTGGGCTCACAACCTATTAAGTGTCCAAGCTTCTCACTGGACTGGCCAGTAGTAATGAATGGAGAGTCAGAAAAGGAGCCTGTACTTTGGAGCTTATCTCTAAGCATTTTTCAGACCTGGATCAGACACAAACAGTTTCATAAGCATCACAACTCAGTAAAACCCAGTTTATGTCATCCAGTTGTCCTGCTAGGAAAAGAGGCTGAATTGATACAGCTC